TCTATCTATCTAATAGTTTAACAATGCTAAATACTGATCAGAACCTATCTGCCTCCTGTAAAAGAGGTCTTTTCTTATTTTAACATCATGTCTTACCTTTGGCTTGGGATCTCTTTTGACTTTTTTGTCAAATAATTTGACTAATTATACTCATGTCCAATAAACTGTGCTCTGTTCTTGTATGAGGGATAACACACTTGGCAAGCAAAAATTGATTTGGCATGATCACCCATCAGGCTTTAGGAAGGCTTATCTTGCACCGTGATTGATTTGCTGCTGGATGTCTATGGGGCAGTGTACCCATATAGCTGGGCTTGCACTGATTGGTAGTTTTGTCTGAGTCATTCCAGCTCCATTTTGTCTTGTCATACAGGTTCTCCCCAGGGTGTGAGGGTCAGGCTCCTTTACTTTTCTTCCATATACTGTGGAGAGCTTCCTCTTCTCCAATGGTATCCTCAGACCCTACCGTGGTTACATTTGTCTCTTGTCCCTCTAAGGTGGACACCTTTTTGAGAGGTCCCAAGGGATCGGTGTGCATGTGTTTCAGTAATGGACGTGTTATTTCCTGGGGCTGTTAGAAATGGCACCTCTGCATTTTGTTACTGACCTGTGTGCTTTGTTCCTATGCCCAGCTGGAATTGTTCAAATCACCTTTTCTAGGGTACAAAGTTTTCTAGTTTAAGCATGGTTCACAGGTTCATTAAACATTGCATAGTTAATCTGTATTTTTCTGGGGAGAAATTAAAGGCTTCCAGCCATTGCTGGGCCATTTCTGAATGTCTTTACTACTGTTTTGGCTAAAAATCTAAGTTAAATTTTGCTGTTCTCCCTCATCATTTCCCTATTTCATTTCTCATCATTCTAATAGTCCTGTTATGAAGAAAAGAAACAGAAACATGGATGTTTAACACTTAACAATGTCTTATTGTCTCATTGCTTTTGGAAAAGGGAATGGAAGAGGAAAAGACTCCCATATGGCTATAAACAAACCAGAAGGAAGTGAGTTCACTATCCACGGGAAAGCACAGCTCTCCTGCAAAGGAGGTTTTGACTTCAGTTAAGGGGAAACGCAGCACTGCCCTGGTGGTGCTGAGCAGTTCTATTCAGCTGCAATGCTGAGATGTCAGGAAGCCCGAAGATATACCCTGTGTCCCTTGGGAGCATTCATGATGAAGATGCTGATGAAAATGGCTCATGGTCTACCAGCGTGAGGTCAATGGCAAATTCATATTGAGTTCAGTGTTGTATACTTGGGCTTGATAAGGAGAAAGAAATGGTATATCCTGCCTTTTCAGAGGTGTCCTTTTTAGTGTCCACTTGAGTCTGACCTCTTCTAGTCCATAGCACCTCCCCAGTTGTTGCTTTCCAACTCTTCAGAGTCCCCTGCCTTGTCCATGTTGTAGGTATTCCTTTACCTTGTCCTCAATGCCTGTCTTGCCTCTGGGCATTATAATGACATGGAAATGCAGTTAGGTAAAGGGCTAGGCATCCCCAAGCCACTGGATATCAGGGTTGTCATCACTAAATATAGTGAAATAGTGGAAGTTAGAACTTCTGAGGTGGTTAAAAGGATGGATAGTGTAAAATATTTCCCTATGTTTTAAGACAAGAACAGAAAAAATGAGAGAAAAATGAACAAACCAACCAGATAAAAGCTGATTTGAGAGTCTGAGGTGGAATGAAAGCATCATTGGAGAACTGGGGATGAAATGGTTAAGCAGCCTCCTCACTCCAGTCTAAACTTAGTGATCTCTGTGAGAATAGCAAATAAACAGCAAATAGCTACATGAAGTAGGGCATTATGGTCATTACTGCCTAACACAGCAAATGAATCATATCCTCAGTTTAGAGCCTCAAGTGTGCAGCAGAAGTGGGTACAACACCATCACAGCATGAGTTTCTTGGGGATATCTGCAATAGCTGTCTCAGTGTGGCTAGAGAAAGGGGTTGTAATAGATTATTGAATGCCTCAAATATAATTGAGCATCCTGACTTTATTCCCTTCCTCCAGAAGATGGCAAAAGTTAGCTGGACTTAATGCAGACAGATGGACTAAAATGTTTCAGGACTGCTTGTACTATACTCCAGTTTCAGGTCACCAGTGGTTTAATGCTCCAGATGGAAGGACTGATCTCAAACCCACCAACAGAAGCTTGCTTGGAGCAATCAGCCACCTCACCTCCAGCTTGGCAGCACTGCAACCACTAATATAGCATATATTTTGGCTAGGACAAGAGTGGAGAACTCGCATCTACAGAGGAACCTTGGCTAAAAAAAGCCAATATATAGAAAGAAACATCATATCTATCTGTATATATATAGATATAGAAAGAATTGGCAACAAGGATTTCTTTTTTCCCATCTCAACAGGGAAGTCTAGAAAAAGGAAAGAAATACAACTAATAAAATCCAAAGAGACACATAATAACCTTTTCTTTCTTGTACAGTTAGTTTATTTTGTTCCTGTATTTAGCCGCTCTGGCAGTTTATAGTTTCAACATTAGGAAAATGTGAGAATACGCGAGTAAAGAGATATGCTGAAGTTAAGAGGCTTCCTGCCAGCAGAGATGGAGAACTGAGGACTGCTTGTTTAAAGGATGCTCCTGAGGTGGTTCAGTTTAACCTGGTGCTTATCCCATGGTGAAATCCTAATTAGATTCCGAACAAATTTATCCTCACAATTTCTTTTCAGCCTAGGGGTTTTGACAGCTGCTGTAGCTCACTGATTGCTGCTCTGGGAGGATTTGTGCCCATGCCCTTGGAATAGAGCAGTTGGCCAATGAGGAGGATGTTTGACACCCTTACAAAAGCCAACCCATCAGCAAGCTGTGCTAACAACTCAAGAGCCTATGACAGCTATTCTCCTTCTTAAGTGTCCTCTAAGAGGAGGTTGACTTACATCCCTAAGCTCCAACTTTCTTCTTAGACACCTTGCAGCAGGGCAGGACCAGAGGTGCTGCATGAGCTCTCACCTGAGCTGCCTGGATATTGAGTTTTGAGTTTGGGCAAGATGCTGCCATTTGAACACGCATTTTCTCCTTCAGACAATGTTCAACATGTCACTCACATTGCTTACCACCCACAGTGGGGTAGTGATTGTAGCTTAATGATGAGAAAAATGTTCATTTTACAGCTGACTTCTTCTTTGAGATCATGTCCTTATTATTCAAGTCGACTGGGAGATTTTATGTGATTCCCTGTCCCTCCACTCCCTGAGAAAATGCAAATTTAGCAGAACAAAACCTTTGTGGGTATTTTTATTCATTTTGACGATTCTTTGTGTGTCAAAATATTCCATTTCCCATCCCAAAGCAGGAAAAAATCTTGTTATTTCAAAATTTTCATCTGATTTGTGTTTTCTGGGTAATACAAATGTGCAGAAGGATTACGGCTAACTGCCTGATTTTAGCAGCATGAGAAGAAATATCAGCCATGGGGAAAGACCATGCACCGCTTCCATTTGAATAACTCAGCAACATTAATTGTCAAGACCCAACTGGGATCAGGTTAGCAGAGTCCTGCTGCTGAGTTTGAATCCCATTGGCTGCGTCATCGATGGCTTCCCTAGCTGTGCGGCAGAGGAAGCAGTGAGACAATAGCTACAGCGGTAGGAAGCTTTCTAGCCTCACCCCTGCTTCCTCCAGGCAGCAGGGGTATTACCTGCTAGTCTACTCCTCTCTGCTGGGTTCACCTTCCTATAATCCCTCCGCTCCAGCAGCTCTGGTTTGGATAGAGGGAGTCATGTTCATAATCCTGCAGAGACGAGACTGTTCTCGAGGTATGTATTTGTCAGTGCACTGCTGCAAGCTCTGAAGAAACTGTTGCAGCATTAATAGCTCGCCTGCTACCAGAGGAAAGAAGGACAGTATTCAGATTTAATAAATCATCAGATGTTAAAGCAACTTCTGCCTTCTCTGTTATACTGCACATCAACAGGAATGTGGTAAAGTGCTTTTTCATACTGTTTAGAATCTGACATTTCAGCACATCTTGTAAGTGTGCATTAGGAGAGTGAACGTTGCTATATTTGTACTTGCAGGTTTGGAATGAGAACAAAATTTGAAGAGATGCAATGTGCACATGGAATATTTTCCAGAGGGGCTGAGGCAATCCAGCACAGTGCAGTTTGAGCTGTCTTGAAACTTCAGGCTGCAAATGCAGCAAGATAGAGTACATAGTGATTCTGAAATGGAACTGAAAACTGTTGAAACCTGTTGAAACCTGTAGCTGCTTCTCCAAACCCTGCTAAATACAGATGCCACTGTAAAATATGGAATTAAGTGTTTGAATTGTGCAGTTATGCTCAAAATACATTGTTCCTTTATCTTGTCTCTGAGTATCAACCTTAAACAGGGGAGACTGAGATTAGACATTAGGAAGTTCTTCCCTATGAGGGTGCTGAGGCCCTGGCACAGGGTGCCCAGAGCAGCTGTGGCTGCCCCATCCCTGGCAGTGTTCAAGGCCAGGCCGGACGGGGATTGGAGCAACCTGCTCTAGTGGAAGGTGTCCCTGCCCGTGGCAGGGGCTGGAACTGGGTGAGCTTTGAGGTCCCTTCCAACCCAAACCATTCTGTGGACCTATGCTATCAGTAATGGCCCTCTGTCTGGTCACTTCAGAAGGAAGCCATTGCAAGTGTTATTTGTATTTATTTATTTACTGCTGAAACCTGGCAGGACTGTGATGCAACACTGTATGCAGCCATGGTACTGTGCATGAGCACAATTTCTCCCTATGCTTCTATCACCTGTTTTCTGCTAGGTCCCTTCTTACCTATCAGTGAGGTCTCTGGAGTCACCCCAAGCCTTTAGTCAGCAAAGCTACTTTTTTTGTGTTAGGGCACTAATAGGCACTATTAGGCACTAGTTAGCCTGACCAGTCTCACCTGGAACCTCAAGCCCACCCCTACCTAGGAGCCTTTTGTCTCACTCTGGAGTCCTCAGTCTTGATCTTAAGTTATGTGATACAAGTGCTGGTCTCTAGTCATGATTCAAATGTGTGTCTGGCCAAGAACATAGTTGATGTGGACCCTAGTGTGCAGAATGATGTCGCAGCCTGGCCTCAGTCTTGCTTTACTACTGTGGACCTGCCCATGGGACCTGAAGAGGACAAGCATGTTGCTGGAATGGTGAGGAACCAGCAGCTTTGGCTGTATTATGGCATGGAAGACGGGCTTTGGGAGATGGGCCTGATGTTTAACTTGGCCTTCTTGTGGCAAGAGAGTGCTGTCCTGAGACAAAGAAAAGGTATAAGGTGCAGAAATGCCTTCCTAGATTTGTGCTAAGAGTGTCAGTGTATCCTAGAAGATGAACATGAACTGCAGAGGCAAAAAGGTAGAATTCTTGTTTGTCTTCCCTTGTTTTCTAGTACTTCTGCTCCATTATCTTCTTTGAATGTTTCTTTACCTTTCTAGATTCCCTCCTCTGTTCCTGCCTGGGTTCTGCTTTGTTTTTTTCAAGAGCAACATTAGCTTTCAGGTCTCCTTTGCTGCTTTTTCAATCACCTGGGCTTTGCTGGCAATGTTCTTTGTTTCCAGCAGAGGCTGCTGAGGCTGCCTTTACAGTTAGTGTGTTTTCAAGGAGGTGCAAGGGCTTGTTTTCTATCCTTCCCCCTTAGGCTTTTCCCTTTGATGGCAGAAGCTCAACTGAACATCTTGGACAAGCCTACAGCTCCCAGGGAGTTTCCATTACAGTTAAGCCACTTTTCAGGCTACCTTGCCCCATGGCTAAGCTACAGGAGGATGTGCCTCTTTCCTTCTATAGTTTGCAGTGCTGCAGTGGGGCTGCAGCTAGCCTCAAGTGTTACCTTAAAGGTGGCTGAAAGGAGATTAAACCAGGAAAGACTACTGCTGTAGGTTAACCATAGACAAAGAAGGAAAGGCTTTGGATGCTGCTGGAGCCTGGATATTGTAAGAACATTTAATATGTCTCCCTATTTCTTTAAGGAATGGGTGGGTAGTAGTACCTTGTTTTCTGTAACAGGAACTAGGTGTTTACCCCAGACACAAGGGATTCTTCTCTTGGTAGACCTGGATATGTAGCACTACACACTGTTTTGCAGCTTGAATGTTAAGAAAAGAGCCAGTTAACCAGAGTTAACCTTGGGCCATTAACTGAGTGCTCACCAGAGAGTGGTGGCCCAGCTGCTGTGTCTCTGCCTTTGGACCATTTGGGCACTACGAATGTTGACTTAAAGGAACAATAAGAGGGGGCCTGTGACTGAGCAACCTTGTGAAGGAACAAACCTACCTGTCTGCACCTCTGCTCTAGTCAGCTATGTGGGAGCTGCTGTCCCAGGGTGCGGAGTTGTTGGACACAGGGTTGTGCCTGGTCCCTCTCAGACATTGCTTTACCATGTCTGTGCTTCTGTTTGTAAAGGAGAATCTGCCTGGGTTGTTCCTGTGCTAATGAATATTTCACAGGATCACACAGAATCATTAGTATTGGAGGGGACCTCTGGAGATCATCCAGTCCAACCACCTGCCAAGGCAGGAGCACCCAGAGCAGGTTACACAGGAACACATCCAGGCAGGTTTTGAATGTCTCCGCATTCAGAGAGGGAGACCCCACGACCCTCCTGGGCAGCCTGTTCCCGCACTCTGCCACCCTCAATATAAAGAAGCTCTTCCTCACGTTGAGGTGAAACTTCTTGCGTTTCAGTTTATGGCCGTTGCTCCTCATCCTGTCTCTGGGCACCACTGGAAAGAATCTGGCACCATCCTGGCACCTGCCTTTGAGATGTTTATGTGCACTGATGAGATCCCCTCTCAGCTATTTTATTTCTATTTGCCTTAGGCTCTCTGAAAAACCATTCTGCTTCCAGACACCCTGTCTGGGGCTGAACATGCTTTCTGGGATGCTCCACACAGTTGTTTTGCTGTTTAGGCTGGTTTGGAGTACTGTTTCACACAATGATTCTGTGTTAAGACTTGTGTGTGTTGGCTGAAAGCTCTGTACACTCCGTTATCCAAACAGTCCTCTGTTCTGCTTTGAAATAGTGACTTTCAGCATCAGAGGACCTTCAGGCGATTTCATACAATCATGGAACTGACCAGGTTGGAAAAGACCTTTAAGATCATGAAGTCCAACCGTTTTCCCAGTTCCAGACTAAACCATGTCACTAAGCAACTTGTCTACACGGTTTGTGAACGCTTCCAGGGATGATGATTCCACCACGTCCCTGGGCAGCCTGTTCCAATGCCTGAGCTCCCTGAAACCAGTGCTCACCCGTCCCGTGTGAAGTCCACAGGAGATGTCTTCTTGCCCTCAGCGCATCGCTCCGGACGCTGCTCCCGGGGAGGCGCAGCACTGCCGCTCCTGTCCGCCAGGTGGCGCCGTAGTGGGAGCCTCGGGCTCCTCCTTCGGCTCCAGCCCCGAGGTGTAGGGCTCCCGATGCTGTAACCTTAGGGTTAATAAGCCCCCTAAGAGCCTTGCTCCCTCCTACTTGCTCTTATCAATAATTCACCAGGTTTTCCCGCTCTGCTTCCCCCTTTCCTTAACTCTGATTTCTTAAGGCCTGTTACATGTAGCCTGCAAGGCTCGTTGTCAGCTCTGCAGTGGCTGCGTTAGTCAAACACACAGCAGATGTCAGTGCGTTACAGAACTTGGTGTGTCAGTAATAAAAGAAGTTGCAAATGAGAAAGTTAAACAAGAAAGCAGAAGCACAGGGAGCTGCAAAGCTCTGAGGCTGTATTTGTAAAGTGTCTGGTGTGGAGGAACCCTGACTCCGCTTGCAGCTGCCAGACAGCAAAAATACTCTGAGTCTTAATGTTTCATGAGGTCTGAGGGTGTAAGAGAATCTCAGGAACAGGCAAGTATTGAACTGTTGCTCACACGTTCTGGGTACACACTAGTCCAAGGAGCAGGTACGGTCCTGAGGGCATTGCTGCCAACTTCAATGGAGCTGAGATTTCAGCAACGTCTTTTGTTGGAGGGAAATCAGGTGTTAAGATATAGCATTCATGAATTATTGCCTCCTGGGTATGTCGTGCTGTCTTTGCCCATTGCTTAGGTCCTCAGACCGCCTGGCCATGTTCTTCAAGGGGATTTTAAAGGATCATTTACAAACACCTAATTGAATGCTTACTGTACTTGCCCTGAGTCTGATCTTTTTTGGGTGGAGGGGAATCTCAGTTCAATTTAAATTTCATGAGAGCGAGTTCCATAGGTTGTGTGCTGTATAGAAAGAGATTGTGTAATTTAAAATGCTACCTTTCAAATTGTATTGAAATTGCCTTGTATCATGGAAAGGAGGTAACCAGTCAGAGCTGACAGCAGCGACTTTAGCAATATCTGTTAGTGTCAAAACATGTTAAGTATGAGCAGGGCTTGGATTACTATCCCCTGGCTTTAATACCCAGACCCTCTCTAGAGTCACCTTAAGTTTCTGTGTGAAGAAGTATTTCCCTTCCTCAGATTGAATTTTCCACAGTTTCCATTTCCTTTCATATTCTTGTGTTCAGACATGAAGCCAGGAAAAAGCCAACCTCCTATACTGACCTTATTCATTCCAGGGCATGCTTATATCAAGTCTCCTCTTGCTCACTTCTTCTCTGTCCCGAAAAACCCTGGTCTTTCAACCTCTGTTTTAGTTTTCCCAGCCCTGTATCGTTAGCATCTCTGTGAAGGTGAGGTAGCCAGTGTGGGCTGGTGTTTTAATGTGAAGCAGGCAGGGCTGTAGTCTCCCTTCCTTCCTAGTACCACTCTGCACTGTACATATTTGTTTCCCATCAGCTGTAAGAGTAGCTGTACAATTTCACATAATTACAGCTGTACAGTGCTCACGTACCTCAGGTTCATACAAGGAGCTTTAATATTTTCACTATCCGATACCTCAAGCATTCAGACACCTTATTGCCATCTGTAACCACAGCTCTGCATTCCCATGAAGGTTTTCCAAAGCTATTTGCAGTAGTACCCAGGTAGATTTTGTATTTGCACCATTAACTGGGAGCAGTGATGTCTGAAAACAACCATGCCTTATTACTTTAGTAAAGTACAATTATCTCTTAAAATGCCCAGACTGGCCTGGCCTTTATTTTATCCCCTGTAATTGAAATTTGGCTTGAAGTGTTTCTAGCTACAGCCAGTAAATAGAGACAAGCCCCAATCCCTCAGTGCTAACTCATTCACCCATTATTCAACAATGTCTGCAATGACTTATTTGTTGACTGTTGCTTGGCCATGTACAAGATGGGCTGAGCAGTGGAAATGATAATCATTAAGACAAATAGAAGCACTGATGAAAAAGCAGGTTCAGCTATTGCTAAATGATTTTGGGAAGCGTCTGAGGTGACTATGTTGGAAATTGAAATGGATGTTTCTCAAAGGAATAGGAGAGGACATCAAAATATGTGTCTTTAAACTAACTGGCATGCAGCTTTTGTTAGCCTTATTTAAGGTTATCCCAACAGGCCAGCTCTCAGATGTCATGGAATTTTGCTTGTGTAATGACTGGGTTTTCTTCCTTCCTGGAGTTTGTCCAGAGAAAGTAGGGAGCAGCTATCAGTGAGCTTCCAGTATTGCTCCAAGTAGAGGGTATGTCCAGCACACATGAAAATAAGATAGCATTATTCATTATAAGAAGTGGCAAAATCTGGTCTGTAGATATCACCACTATTTTTCCACTTATACAGAGTATTGGTCATGTGCCAATAGAAAAAGCTGCCAATTAAAACCTTTAAAGAAAGGAAACCCTGTTTGAAGCCTGACAATAAATGTTTTCCTTCCCCTGAAATATGTGCTGAACATCATAAAGAAGACTTAGAAGAAGTAGCTGGTGAGGTTTAACATTTTGGAGTCATAGAGATTGATTTGTTAACACTTTCACATTTTGTTCTTTAATAGATGAGCATTGTAACTAATACGACTCAGTTAAAATGGTAATTAAACACCGAAAACAAGAGATAATGTACTGCAGTTGGATAAACCTATTAAAAGAGAATAGTATAGCATTAAAATGCCAACAGCATGAATTCTTTGTTGGTTTAAAATTCCTTTGCTGTTCTGCCACTTTCTTTGTTTCTTTATGCTGCTGTTTTTTCTTGTAACTGAAAACATCAGATGACCACTGGCAATGACTGTGCAGTGGTGCTGCCTCCCAGGATGTGTAGCTGCAGCCTCTAAACCCAGTGTTACGGCAGCAGTGGGCATCCACGTGGCTGATTGTTTAGCAGACATAATGGTGGTGTATTTATGTATTCCTAAACTTGTTTTTCAGGATCTGGGCCTGCCTGCGTATCATGAAACTCGCTGCTTAACAACAGAAATAAAGCACTTGTCAGGCTGCAGCGATGCGTCAGTGCAAAATGGAATTTGCAAGACTAAAGTTTATGCGAGGCAACAACAAAATCCACTGTGTCATTTTGTTGGGCAACAAAGGTGATTTGTTATGCAACATAATGAGGACTTGTGTGTGATAGACAGCAGTGGCACTCAGTTACGGGGCGTTGACATCAACAAGCACATGCAGCAGGCAGATCTAAGAGAATTGCTATACATAGCAGGGAATTCAAAAGCTTTGTTGTTATTACAGGGTGGTTTTTTCCAACTTAAAAACCACAGAGTAAACAAACACTCTGAGGCCAGCCCTGCAGTCCTTTATGGTCTGGTAGGACCTTCATAGTTTCCTTTTGGGTTGGTCTGTGTCTTAGACTTGACTGTCAGCATAAAGGCCACAAGGTCAGGGCTCACAGTGTCATGCATCTGTGGCTCTGACACATTTGGCACATCTCCTGCCAGCCCACAGAATGACAAGGGAAGAGTGAGTGTAGGGGAAGAAGTAAGATGCACTCATGATGCTGTTTACTGCTACTCAGAAGCCCATGATGCCTAATCCTACACTGGGATTAGCTCCACTGTTGCTGTTAGCGCATACACTCCTAAAAGTCAGTTATCCTTCCTGTAGGGAGCCAATGGTCATTCACCAATTTTGCAGATATCCTGCCAACAGGTGGGCTGTGCACACAGCTGGGAATAGAGCTATGGCTATAAGCAGTGAGATTCACCTGCTTTGCAACATCACCTTTCAAAACAAACCTACCTGCTGCTATGATTGTACCTCCTGTTTATGATGACTTTGGCTGCTCTCTGCCTCCAGAGCTGGGGCTAGACCCAAAGATCCTGTTTGCTGACATTCCAGTGCTGTCTCACAAATGCTTGTGTAACTCACTGTTGGTTATGTGTTCTCCCGGCCCACATGGAATGTTTCCCTTGTTGTTCAGCTGGAAGAGAGAGTCTGGGAGCAATCTCTTCCTGAGAGCTGCAAGGGAGAATCTGGGATCAAGCTTCACTGATAAAGGCATGCTGGAAAAATAAGGAATCAAGACTGTGGCCTGTGGTAGGCAGAATAGAGGACTAATCTGCAGTTGTGTTGGTAACCTTTGTCGTGGCACTCTGTGGGGTTGGTTCTGTTTCTTCAGCATGGATGTAACATTGTACCTTATGCATGATAGTCTGGAATAGTCATAATCAAGCAAACAGTTGTATCCCATGATGGCTGTGTTAATCTGGAATTAATGCTTGCCGTTTGCCTCAAAGCATGATCAAGCCTAGTTGGCCAGACCACATTAGGGGAAGCTGGTCCTGTAGAAAAGTCAAAGGCCCCCATTCCCTTGTGTACCGTGCCTTAAGCATCACTCAGTGGCAGGAGGTTGGAGTTGTTCTGACTGTGCCAGTGACTCAGAAACGGCCTGATCTGTTACTCAAGCAAGAGCACAACTACTTAGGACAGTTACAAAGGGTAAACCATTGAGTGAGCCACAACCTTGGTCAAGCTACTTAACCTCTTGATAGCTTACATGGAAATATCACTACGAACTTACTCTATGATGCTTGAGGGTTTAACCAAACAGACTGAAACAGCTAAAGAAAAGTTGTAAAGCACAAGTTGCTTTAGTGATTTAGTGTAATATTGGGCATGACACTTGGGCCAAGGTATTCAAATTAATATGTAGTTGAAGAAAAACTTTGCTTTTGGTGCCAAACAGGCACTTGTACTCCATTTCCAGAGGTCTTCCCCACATTATAAGGCAGATGGGGTTGTTTGGCCGTGTTTTACTTGTGTATTTTTTTCCCCCTCACAGTCTCTTGAACAATAGGACTCTAGTCCTGATGGAGATATTTTAGGAGCCACCATGACGAATATTTCATGATGATACTGGGGAGTTTTGCATTTAAGAAATGCAATTGCCAACCAAAACAATGAAGTTAAGACTAACCAAATTAATATTGCATCATAAGAAGCAATAAGATTCCATACTGTGAGGATAAGAAGCAAACAAACCAACCCTGCCTTTCATGCAGAAGATGCTATCTGCCATTTGCATAGGTACTGTACATGTAATTAAAGCCATCCTTAATGTGTAATGCTGTTATTACAGTCCTTGTGATTCTTTAGCATTTGGTAGGCCTTATAATGAAGGAGTATAAAAATATCCCAGGGACTCTAGAAAGCATTACAATGACTTTGCAGGCAATGACTGTCTTAAAGTAAACCCCACAAGCATCCTTGCTTCTTCACAGGAAAACATCTTGCTGGCATCTGGCAGTATGAATGCTATTCTTTATCAGGAAAATGCTGCTGGTAGACAGCCTGGATGCTGCATATGGAAGGCTCACAGGTGAGTAAGTCGGGTGGCTCACTCTGAGTGTGAGTGCAGCATGTCCTTGTGTTTACAGCACTGCTTGGATGAGCCTCGGGTTGTGAGGAGCCACATGTGAGCAGCTGGAGTGACTAATGCTGGGGATTAAAGTAATTTCCTGGGGCTTCCTTAGCCAGTCTTTCCCTTTTGCAAGTGAGCACCCACTTTTCAACACTGCCAGCACCCAGAAACACTTTTGGCAAGCTTGCCCATCCCCAAAATCTCCATGTTAGAATCTCTTTCTTCCTCACTTATTCCTTGATCTTTTGCCCCTGCAGCAGAGGATGCTCTACTACTTTCTCAGCCTCCTTGCCCTGTTCTGTGGATTTCATAGAATCACAGGACTCTCTGGGGCTGGAAAGGACCTTAAAGCTGATCCAGTTCCAACCCCCTGCCATGGGCAGGAACACCTTTCACTAGAACAGGTTGCTTCAAGCTCTATCCAACCTGGCCTTGAACACTGCCAGGGATGGGGCAGCCACAGCTTCTCTGGGTACCTCAGCACCCTCACAGGGAAGAACTTTTTTCCTAATGTCTAATCTCAATCACCCCTCTGTTAGTTTAAAACTGTTTCCCTTGTCCTAAGGGGGTTCTGTGTTTCCTGTCCAGCCCTACTTGAGTCCAGCACATGATGAAAGAGCAGGTCAGTAATGTTAAACTGAACATGAATGTTCTATATGTCTCGCATATAAAACTGCCCAGAACTTGCACTGTTTCCATCAGCAGCTCACCAGACTATGCATAAGTACAGTTGTGCAAAAAAAATGTTAAGAAGGATTTGCACATGTGAGGATTTAGACTGAGATTTGGTATGGCAGAAGATGGATGGATGGATGGAGTTGTGTGATTTAGGCCTTTCAAGGTACTGTATGAGTGTCAGGCTCATCTGGGTTGAGGTGGCATTTGCTCTTTGGCAGGAAGTTTGCCATGTGGTTGCTCCCTTTGTGGATGGTTTTTATCCAAATGGTGTATCTGTAGTGCTGTAAATCAGTGTTGTGCCCTGACTGCACCTGGATAGGCCTTTTAAAAAATTAGGTAATGTGTCCCTGACAGGATTTGATTTTAACCATTAAAAGATCTAGAAATTAGTAGATATTCCTTTAATGTGCTTGCAATAGGCACTGCACCATGTGAATGTTTGAGGCAAGATGAGTGGGCTGTCAAGGACTGGCAGGTGACCAACCAACAACTTTAGCTGACCAGACTGGTAGTTTTTCTATTGTAATCTAAACTGAGGTCAAAGCAGGTGTCTTAGAGGTGTTGACTAAGTGCTAGGGCTCCATAAGTGCTGTGAGTAAGATGAAATTTTGAATTATGCGCTTTGGAAGTCGTAACAGGTCAAGTACCTAATGAAAAATTAAAGGGTGAAATTAGTGGGAGCAAGAGTTCCCACCAGAGCAATAACCCAGTCCCTGAAAGCAGCCGGCAGCCTCTGTGGAGGCAGTTAGCATGCTCTCTTCTCACAGCTGACTGCATCCTCTTCTGAGGTTGTACCTTGCCTTAGTCTTTGTTTTGTTTGCTGTCAGCAGAGGCTGATTTTAATGTGGCCTGAGTAAAAACAGTTAGAATCACAGGACCTGCATCAGAGACAGTTTCGGCTCTGCTTTCAGAAGTGGTCATGCCCATTGCTGACAGCAAATGGTTCTCCGCTAGTAGTCAGTCATCTCACAGCTTGGTCTTACTTTCATACTTGTTAGCTATAGAGCAAGGAACACTCGGAAATCTGCTGCATTCATAATGTGTGAAGATCGCCTACGGACAGGGATATGTTTGGGAGCAATGTGCCAGTTTTCCAGTAAAGGATTGAAACTAGTATTATCACAAACAATTTTGCCATAATGGCTACATGAATAAGAAATAGAAATAAGATGTAGCGGCATCCTAATAGTTCAGGTAGAAATTAACTGGTAATTAATATGAAAAAGTCATTTGCATTATTTTTAAATGCTAAGTATTGGCAGCATAACCTCTTTAATGGCTAAATTCAAGACTACAATACTGCTTTTTCCTCCAAATGATGGTATAACAATATGTAAAAGTATGTGTAATACAGTTAGTTGGTAAGAACTGGGCAAGCACAGACAAGCAAGAAACATGGAAAAACACAAAGCCAATTGCTTCTGGACTTTACAGGTCCATCAGGACATTCTCACTGCTTATCAGGAAATATGTAAATAGCTCCTACACCCTTACTTGCTCAGATAGTGAGGCAAGACCTTTTTCTATAAGCCTTCTTCCAGGAAACTCACCCTCCCCAAGGTGTGTAATGAGACAAAAAAGCAAGAAGGATACAAGGCAGCACTAGATAATGACCAGAATACCAAGATCCTGGGAAGTGGTGAGGGAGAGGCAGGGATTGTCAGGAGCTGAGGAATGCTAAATATGCTGATAAGTGACAACTAGGTGAGATGAAGCTGTGGTCAGGACTGTGCAAGTTAGGCCAGGCAGACAAGCTGTCTGCAGGCTGAAAAACCCAGCTATGGTAGTGGACAGTCAGATTTCTCCACAGCAAGGGCAAGCGCTGAGCAGGTCAGACTTGGTTCTGCAGTACCTTGGTTCTTAGTTTTGCCCCTTCAGGCGATGCTTGGGTGCCACAGCTGTGCTGAGTGCATGGGGAACAGCCTTTATTGGAGATCATTATTTGTGCAGGGATGGCTGATGGAGGGTGGAGGAATAGAAGTATTCTCCATGCTCTGTGGGAGGACATGGGAAGTTTGGATTTAAGAGCCATCTTAGGGATACACAGTAAAGAATCAGAGCCAGCAGTGCCTTTGTTCTCTGGGACTTTTAAGGTGCCACGTTGGTTCCCTTAGCATAAGTGGTCATACTGGGGTGTCAAAAGAAAGTAGAATCCTTTCCAAGTGTGGTTTAACCTACAGATGCCATAAAAGCTGCTGTCAAAAGTGCTCAAAAGGCAGGCATGGAGAGCTATCCCTCATGGAAAACTTGTCAATTCTGATGCAGATACAAACTCAAAAGCACCAGCAGTGTCTGAGACTGGTAGAGAACACTTCATAAGGTCCCAATTGAAACTGTTCCTCCCTGTTCTTTCTCAGCTGCTTACAGGAGTTTCATCATGTCTGCTGTTGATTTATATAGGTGTTAGGATATGTGCCTGTATTTAGATTCTTAAAGGCCCACTTAAAGGATACAGGAGTACTGGTTTTTTTTGGTGCTGAAAGAAACCAACAGGATTTATTCTGTTTTCCTTTAAGAAGGCAGTTGTTAAGGAGAAGTCACAAGTACATTGGGAAAAGAAGGAAAAGGCATGTTTGCTCAAGGGGAAGGGAACCAGCACCCTGCAAGAAATGGCAAGGAAGCTACTGCTAGCTGGAGTTTGTTCTCTGTTGGTAGAGAGGGAGGGCTTTTGCCCATCAGAGGATGGGGGGAAGAGCTCTGGCACTGAGCATCCCCAGAAGCGTGGAAAAGGAAGCTCCAGGTGGAGGCTGCTTTGGGTTCCTTTTCTCTGTGACATTGGCTTTCCTGCCCTGTTCAGACCCCTATTTGTGACCAGCACAGCTGTAGGAGAGGGTTTGTTCATTGCAACTTATTGCCCCTTAAAAGTGGAGGGCATTAAAAGTGCCAGGGGCTTGGAAGTGAATGGGCTTTAAGGTCCTTTCTAACCCAAACCATTACAGGATTCTAAGTAGCTGGGTAGCATTTAGCATGACTCCGTATTTCACTACCAAGTGCAAAGTCACGGCTGTAAAAGCCCATGCTTATAAACCCTGGATGCTGACCTGGGCGCAGATAGCTTGTCCTCCCAGGGCACGCACAGGTCTGTGTTTGCAGGCAGCTTTCCTCCTTGGCCTAGGGCGCTCGAGGCAGGCAGCAGCGCTTTGAAAAAGTGCCTGGAAAAACAGAAGGATCTGTCCCGAATCCCTAGTGGGAAGCCGGGACCCGCCGCAGCCCAATGCAGCGATAATCTGTCGGTTTAATTGTGCCTTCCCTCCGGGGCCGCGCCGAGGAGGAGGAGGAACAGAAGGAGGAGGAGGAAGAGAAGGAGAAGGAGGAGGAGGAAGAGGTGGCGGCCGGTCGGTCGGTGCCGGGGTGGGCCGGGCAGGCTGGGCCAGGACGGGACGCGCTGTCGGTCCGAGCCTCCGGGGAGCGCGGTCCCCGCCAGCACAGCGGGTAGGACAGCGGGGCTTGTTTCCTGTGGAGCTCGCTTTTGACTTTCCCCGATCCCTTCCTGGATTGGGAGCCCCGGGGCTGCTTTCCTTGCCGGCAGAGCACCGGAGGGCACCGGTTGCCGCGGTGGCAGAGCTGAGCCCAGGCGGCTGCGGGTCCCGGCTCCGGGCTGGGTGGGCTCCGCCGTGATCCGCTGCCCTCTCCCTGGTACCTGGGGCTTCTTCATCTGCGCGGAGCTCTTGTCTCACTGCAGTGGATGCTGGTTGAGTGACTTCCCAGCCCTTCTCGGTGGTGATGCCCCCCTCCTCGGCGGCGCCGATGGGGTCTCTTCCTGTTTTCGGAGGGGATGAGAAAGAGGGGTTGAGATTAAAAAAGGTCAGATGCTGCTGGTGCATCAGAAAGAAACCAGGGGAAAAGGAAGCAAACCCGCGGAGATGGGGCTGCAGAGGCTTAATTTACCAGAAACCAACGGGGACAGGGCCTCCAGCCGGGAAACTTTCAAACCCCAGGGAAGGCTGGCGGCTACCGGCAGTGGGGAAGTGTGGCTAGCAGCGTGTCTGAGGCCAACGCTCCCTCCTGCCAGCATGTGTCAAACCGTTTAGGTTGTTAATGGGAAGAATTCACCAATTAAACAACATTCCATCTTTTTGTGTTTCCTTCAATGTTTTCCACATGTGCTGTCCTGAACAGTAACCTCAAATCTTTTTTTAATGATGTGAAGCATTAATGTTGCTTGTCTTCTGCAGTTTGTTTTCCTTAGCTGTGATTAATCACCCTGTTTTCCTATTCCAATTAAGCTGCTCACTTGGAGCACTGAGACAATCAGTGTCTCATCAGCTGGTTTCAGAATTACCAGCGAGTGTCCTTTTTGGGTTCTTGGTAGACCAGAGGTCTTTTCAGTTTCAGGCTATTGTATTTTACTGGCAGTTGTAACATGAGGGACTTGAGTCAATGATCTGTTGAAGCATGAGCAGGCTGGGAGGGGGGCTCATAAAAGCAGAGCCTTGATTGCATATGTGCAGTTGGGTTTACTTCTCACAGACATTACATCCTGTAAGAGAGCTCAGACAGCTACTGAGGCGCTATGGGCTATCCATTGCCCTTGGATGAGAATCTGTACTAGACGTTTGAATGTGATGTTCCAGTCAGAGTTTTTGTACGTTAAACATGAGAGATCAGTGAGTTAATCTTTGATGTTGTCAGGACGCTGCACAATGTTCCATGGTGAGCTTAGTCCCTTTTGGCAAGAAGAGAGGACAAGTACTGGAGCTGAGATGCTTGAGGAGGGGAAGAAATAAATGAGAAACCTAACTGCTTGCAGTTCCCAGGCATGGGAGGAGGCTGGGGCCTCCCGTGTCCTGGTGTTTTTTGCTCTGTGTTCAGCAGTGAATACCCAGGAACAGTAAGGAACAGATCTGCTCACTGCATGCATTAATTTGTAGGAAATTTTGAAGCACATTACTTTTGCCAACACTTGGGGTGTATTTTTTGGAAGTTTTGGATACTTTTGATTGACAGCTTTGACTCCACAGTGGACTGGCTTTCCTGGCAGGGCTCTGTCACCATGTCCCTGTTGGGTGATCAATAGATGTGTCCAGGGTGACTGAACCACAGCTTCAGTGAGACACCCCTTCAAACCTAAGTTTTTGTTGGAAAACAAAATAGTAGATCTTGTGTTTTTAGAAATAAACCACGAGTCAGTGCCTGCTTTTAGTGGAAAGCTTTTTTCAGTATTATTTTCCTTGGAGAAAGCCAGAATTGTCAGTAGAAAAACCTCATGAAGGGAGTGATTTGAGCAGCCTTGGGCAGCAGTTATTGAAATCCAGTGTTCATAGAGGGATGAGAAATGAATGCAGTTTGTCTTGTCTGTTTCTTGCCTCGACAGCATCCAGGAGTGAAACACTGCCTGCCACATCATCCTGGTGTGGCACTTTTTTTCCCTAAGAGTAGGTGGCCTCTATAAAACCCTACACTTGGCTCCAAAAGCTTGCATGGTGTATGTGGGAATACAAGCCCCTTTCATGCCTTGGTGGATTTTGTACTGTTTGTATACTAGTTGTGTGGTTCCTTGGCTAACAGAACAGTAAGTAGCCAGGTTTATTTTCCATGCTTTTGGGGCATATGTGAAAGGTTTTTTGGGACCTGGGAGTTCTGCTGGGATGCTGTGTGCTGTACCAAGTGCAGGGAAAAATGTCATGAGCACGTTCTAAAGTTAACGACTATGGATGCATGTTCTGAATCATGGCTTTTATTCTCTGCCCTGTGTAATACTTCTCTAACTTCGTGGTGAATTTTAGCAAAACTTTTCTGGCTCATCCTGCAGGAATCACTTTTAAGTCTGTCAAAGAGTGTGGCTGGGAACCTTTCTTTGCAACATCTAAGTATGAACAGCGCTGAAAACAGGATCCTTGGTAAAATTAACCTTGTTTATCAACCATTGTGGTTCTTCTAATGAGAGCAGTTTGCCACCTGCAGCTCTGTGGTGTGTGTGACTTAATTTTAGAGATATTGTAAATGTGAATAAGCAACCTTCTGACCTTCCTCACTTCCATCTTTTGCTTTATTTCCCATTTCCTTCTCTTCCTCTTTGTCCTCTCTCACAGTCCTGTGTCCTTGCAGACATTCCTTATTGCTGGCTTGAGACATGTTACCAATTGACCATTGTTTCACAGCTATTTCAGACAAGAGGAGGAAAGGGCTTGCATGGTGAGACAGGTAGCCTTTAGAGTTTAATGAGCACCCCCTAAATAGCACAGTCAGCTAAACTCTGAGGGCATCAGTACCCTCATTCTCACCCTCTGACTCCTGTGGTGCCTCAGCAAAGCTCAGTGTCAGAACTCTGTGTGTGTACACAGCATCAGCTTCTCCATTTCATGAATAGAATGGACTTCAATAGAGAGTTGTGAACAGTGACATTAGAATTCCCCAGTGACACTGTGATCCATGAACTCATCAACTATCCTTGACAGGGTAGTGCTGGGAGAGGTAGGTTTATTATTATTCTCCACGGAATTTTCCCGGATAGAGGGAATTCGTGTTCAAGGCCTGAATGCTCGGTATTACACTCTTTATTAATTACAATCAGTCAAAACAGCATTGGCACTGAAGCTTCTGTGGGAGGGTTGTTTGTGGACTATTAATTATTTTCAGTCTGCTTGACATGATGTGAAGGATTATTAACATAACCAGTCTTGCAGGTGGTGATAAATTCAACAGGCATTACTCCTATTTCTTAAAGAGGTTGCTTTTCATTATTATTAATCTTTCACATAGCTGCCCTCTTCGAGCTGACACAAATTCCTTTTAGAGCTGACCTAAACCTTGTAATTTGGCAGGAATTTAGGGTAGCTTATTGAATTCAAAATAAAATTTTCCCTCCCCTTACTTAATATAGTGCCCAAAATCAGGGCTTTCATTTCATCTTGTAGAAAGCAAAACGTCATGACATTATCTCAACACTGCAAAGTTACCTTCCATTAAATTCTGTGCTGTACCAATCCATCTTAAGGGGAAGACCATGTCTGTTAAATCACAGGAGAATTTTTGTCTTCTCTTTCAGTTAAACACCTTCCCCCAGCAATATGGCAAGGAGGACCATTGTTTCCATAGAATCGTAGAATGGTTGGGGTTGGAAAGGGCCTTAAGGTCATCTGGTTTCAACCCTCCTGCCATGGGCAGGGATGCCTCACACTAGACCATGTCATATTTTCAGTTGTTCCTATATGTTTGCTTTCAATATTGAGTGTAGCAGCCTGAATAATGAAGATCAGACTGAAAAGGGACTTCCTGTTGGTGAAGAGGATGCATGCATTTTGGACCAGTTTGCACTTCTGATCTATCTGCAGTCTCCTTTGTTGTATTACTCACAGCTCTGACATAGTATTGTCAGCATATGCATAACCATTATATTGCTTTTATGGCTTTGAAGGACTTTTTTGGTGAATATATATTAGTTTCTTGCTGGAACTAGTATTCAGGTTGAAAGGGAAGGCCAGCTATGTAATCTTACTCATTTTACTGCCTCCATTGCATGTATTCAGGTAATTTCCAAGCATACATTTGCTGTCTGGTACCATACTAAATTGACTACTGAAGTGTCCTGTGGATTCAATGGCTTTTGAAAATGGAGCAATAAAACACAAATTCATGAGAAAGTAACATAATAATGTGAATACCTATCTATTATATTGACTGAAATCTATGTGTGAGATAGGTTAGCTTTCTAATAGCCTAAATAGAGAGCTACTTGTGTGTATCTATAGGGTCGTGTCCCCTCATGTTACCTTTATTAATAGTAAATATCTTTTCCCTCATTGAGCGGGTATGGTGATGTTATACCTGTGGTTAAAGGAGATTAATCTGTTCTTAGTTTAGTTAATCATTTGTCTTGGCATATCAGATGGGTGAGGATCAATTCATGTGTTTACAAGTACCCAAGCTGTTTTATGATGACAGTACTACTCTTCTGATGGAAACATACCTTTCAGTATCCCACCCTTACAGCCCTTGTATCAGTACCTTACTCTCCCCAGTCTAAACAAAGCTTTGGTGCTGCAGTGTCAGTTTTCTCTGTAGACACAATTTTGATGGTTTTTAAGTTCCACTGCAGTCTGCCTTGTGTTGTTCTTTCAATACAGATGGTTCTGTGGGGCTTGAAAAAAGCTGTCATGTAAAATATTGTTTGTCCTAAGGTGAACTTAAACACAGCCTTAATGCTCGGTGCAGCGTGCAGGGCATACCCTACAAGCAGTGATGGCATGCGTCATCTCCACAGATCCCTAAGTATTTTTGATTGCAATTAGATAGAAACATGTAGCAATGTAAATAATTGCTTAGATCTCTCTTTTCTATGTGCCTTCACAATTAAAGTGCTGCAGACAAGTAAATATTGAAAAGGAATGTCTATTTCTTGGCTTGAGTTTTAACTCAAGTACATTTCAATGGCAAAGAAACTTCTATCCTGCCATTCATATGTGGTGCAGCAGGTAACAGTGTAAGGTGTA